CCTTTTTCCCTCCCAAGGAACTCACGGTGGCTTACATAAGTCTCTTCTCCCTCTCAGTCCTATCCTCACAACAGTCCTGTGAGGTGGGTTGGGCTGAGAGGCAGTGCTGGCCCAAGGTCACCCTCTTGGCTGCATGACTTGGGTGAGGGCTACAGCTCGGCTCTCCGAGTCCCTGACCCTAAGACTTAACCGCGGTCCCGCACGGCCTCTCACAGGGCCGCCCAAGTTCCAGTCGCTTCAGTTGCGTTTCAACACACCAGCCGAGCGTCAGGGAAGAAAGCGGCAATTCGCCCTTCTGGAATTGGGAGGCCGGGCACCGATCCACCTGAGAAGGTGCGAAAAGCCCTGGAGCATCCGTCAAGCCCTCTCTGGGTCACCGTTCAAAGGATGCCCTGGCTAACCAGATGGCTAATCCTCGCCCCCTCTTTGCTGGTCTCTCCCCACTTGGAAGCTTTCTTCCCCTACCAGAGTTCCGGCACGGCGGCTTTTTGGGAATGGTGGACAGGAAAACTGAGCTTGGGGTGGAACTCCATGCAAAGTTCCCCCCGGAAGGACATTTGCTACGCAGCAGGGAATGCTCAGCACCAGCAGGAAGGCTCTTACGGTCCCCTCATTTTGTCCAACATGACGTGTATCCGTGGCGATTAATTATCATTAAAGAAACAGAGCTTGGCCTTGCACCATGAGCACAGGGGTTTCCACCAGCAGAAGCGCCTCGGTGCGGCCCCAAACAAAATTACTCAAAAATAAAGGGCACTGGGGTTTTATTCCCTAGAAAATGCACAATCTGATAGAAGTTTAGACAGAAAATGCCTGCAATTCCCAGCTGGGAAATGTCAGCCTTTTCTCTGGCTAAACTTGCATTGAATCGCCTTGCCTTGATATCCATCAATTCCGCTTCCCACCTGGCCGGGTTTAAACCGAGTGACCTCCTTGCTGCTAAATGAAGCCAGAGAAGGCGGACGGGTTGAGATGCTTTCAGATACGCACCGTGCTGCATCTCTGGCATGGTGCTAAAAACAGCCACCCTTTCCAAGTCAACGAGTCCAGTCCGAAGATAATGGGTTTACTCAAGTGTCAGTGAGGGCAGGAGGGCAGGGTCCGTGTGGGTGCGTGGAAGGAGAACTCGACTTGTAGCACGGAAAGGATGGGGGTTTGCTCGTGGGGTCGCCAAGTTCAGTCCCAGAGATTAAGGCTTAGCTACCCTTCATTAAGAAGATACCATCTAAACTTTCCCAGCATGCTCAGGGCAACCTGCTTTCCCACGCAGCCTTTGACTTTGCCCCTTCGTTTTCCGTTCCATCTGCACCAAGCAAGCAATAGATTGACAGCTTTTGCTCCTCACTGCCTTTTGCACAGGGGCCACCAATCGGCCGTGGAAAAATCCCCCCCCCCACCGTGCCTTGCAAAAGGAAATGAAAAGCAGCAAAAGAGGTTTGTCCAGGCGTGGAAATAAAAATAAAAAATGGCTGCAGGGCTGAGCGTCCCTTAAAGGGACAGGAGCGGCTGCAGTCGCCTTAAATCAGTCTTCCCCGGCCAGGTGGACCTTGGGAAGCAGCTTTGCCCTGGGCCAGAGTGTGGTCTTTCTAGCCTGCCGCCAAGGGCATCATTTTGTGAATGTACAGCCCTATGCAGTAGCCACCATCTTGTGAGAGTGCCCCCTGCAACATTCAAATGGGGAGTCCCTGGCTTAGGGATGCTGCACAGGACCAAAGACTCTGGTCTTGTGTTGTGGAAATTCAGAGAAGAGGTTGCAGGCCACCCCTGTGCCCACTTTCCAAGGAGCTGGTCGATTTCTGAAGGACTAACACACACTGGGCACCTATTTAATTGCTATTTCTTTTGAACCCAATGAGATTAATTTAAAGGGCTTGATGGGAGAGTTCTGTGTTCATGGACTCCTGGGTCCCACTCACTGCAAAATTCCTGGCTCTGGCCCCCTCTTCACCTATTGAATTCCTGCCTATTGCTAAGCTCTTAAAGGCAAAGTAAGCTTGGAAGGGAAACGGTGCTCCATTCTTAGCAGTTTTGCTGGTCTTTTGCACATTTGGGGTTTTACTAGAGAGATGTTTTTAGTGAAAACCTACACCACACACACACCCATGCACAAATATTTGCTAACATAAAATTGTGGCTGAAGATAAATGAGTTTTCCCCCACCCTTAATCCCAATATGGAATCTAATAAGATTCTTTTTCTTCTTTTAGATTGTCCTACCTCTTTGGTTGCTTGCTTGATTGGTTGATGGATTATCCTCTCTTCCGCCCGCCCTCAACTCCTAATTGATCCAGAGGAGTGAGTCAGTCTTGCGGGAGTTTTCTTTGTAGGGTGACTGTAGGATTTCTGTGTTTTCTTCTTTTTCCCCACCTTTGACTGACTGCTCTGAAAAACGGTTGCTTGCTCTTTCTGCTGGCTTTATCTTTTAGTGTAAGAGAAGCCCCAGATTTTATTTAGGGGTATATTTTATACTTTGGGGGAAAGGGGTCAAGGGGCTAGAAATACTATATGAGAACCCAATGTGTTCCTTGCGGGTGATGTTGCTATTTGTGTAGATACAGCTTAAGAGTGTGGAAGATGCTGAAGGTGCATTCAGACAACGCCTTAACTCAAGAGTTGAATGTGGGCTGTTGGAGAGGCAAGGTGGTTGTTAAAATGCAGACCTTTGTGTTGTCCCTTTCTTGTCGCAATGTTTACAACAACCCTGTGAGGCTGGCCAGTTTGAGGGTTTGAGGGTGATTGAGAACCTGTATGGAGCCCTGTCCTGGCCATTGCAAAGACAAGCTCTGATCCTAAAAGTTGGCAATTTATTATGCTCATTGAATCACGGAGTGGTAGCCTATCCTGGAGGTCATCTAGTCTGACTCCGTGCCCCAGTGTGGGGCCATTGCGGGAGTGTTGCTGGATTCCCCCACTAACTGCTGTTCAAAATGCTTCCAGAACAGGGTTATTCACCAGCTGTGCTTTTTCCTTCGTTCCCCAGTGCTTCAAAGCTGTGGGCTTCTGGAAAGCGGCACCAAGCGATTTTCCATTACCACCTGAAATGCAACCCAGATATCCATGCTTTCTGCTGCTTCCCTTCCCCATAGCCTGTTTTCCCCAATCCCCAGCCAGACTTGGTAGAACTCCTAAGAACCGCTTTGTGTTTTGGGGTTCTTTTCAGAAGCAAACTCTGAAAAACCAAGAGGATGGAGGTTGTTTGATTTGTAAGGCTTACAAGCAGTTACATGTTGATGCCACTTTAAGCTGTGATGCCTCTGAGTAACTTGTGAGGTAGGTCAGGCTGACCAAAGCAACTAGCTGAAGGGGGGGTTGAAACCCATTCCCCCCCCCCCAGTCCGACACTGTCTTGTGCTAGCTTGCCTCCGGGGTGCATAACGCAGGTGGTCCCCTGCTCAGAAGCATCCTGAAGTCTTGTCCACATGCTCAGAGTCACTAGCCAGAGCGGCATGGCGGTGCGGAGGCCGGGCCAGGGCCCAGGGGATCGGACTGCAATCCCCACTCGGCCAGGAAGCCAAGCCCTGCCCCACCAGGGTGATTCCCGCAAGCACCCTGTTCGCCCACGAGAATTCCTGATCGCTATTGCCCCCAAGTCGGGCTTAGCTTGTTTTGGTCTCAAGAGAATTACTTCCAGTGAAAGCAATTTTGCAAGGGAATGTTTGACCCTTGATGGTCACCTCTAGGGTTCTCTGGAAGGTCTTCCATATTTTGAGGCCTGTAGAAATGATTCGAATGTCTTTGGTTTTTCTTTACTTTTGCCATAATTCTGCCATTATTTATTTATTTATTTATTTATTAAAACATTTATATGCCGCCCCATTTGCCGAAGCCTCGGGGCGGCTCACAACAAGAAGAAAAATACAATAGTAATAATATAAAAATAACAATATAAAATAAATAACAATATAAAAGAAGTCACCCTGGCCAGATAAAATAAGCAAATACTGTTAACAATTAAAATGACGCTTAAATAAAAAGGTCTTCGCCTAGCGCCGAAAAACAAATAACGACGGCGCCAGGCGGACCTCTCTGGGGAGCGCATTCCATAGATTGGGCGCCACCACAGAGAAAGCCCTCCTCCGGGTGCTCACCCTCCTAATATCTTTCACGGAGGGCTCCTGGAGAAGGGCCTCTCCCACATCTCGTTTTCAGACATTGACTTTCAAACTTATTTCCACAGCCTAAGGGCTAGGAATTGGCTGTATTTATCAACCACAAAGTTGAGTTTCTCAGAAAGCCGAGTTCTGCCCTTGGCACCCCTTTCTTTGGCTTTCCTCATTCAGGCTTGGATGTGTTATTGCAAGACTGCTGTACCCCTTCGGGTCCAGTGCAGAGTGCCGTTTCCGTGGGGCTCTGTTGTGGGGGCCGTACAAGTGTCCTCACACTCCGTTCTTCCTACAACCCTTCTTCCCTCGAGTTTTGTCTGTTTCCCAGCATGGGCCTCCCATCCTAGGAAACTCTTGTCATAAAATGCTGGAAGTATGATTTTGGCAAGCTGGAAGTGGACAAAGAGACCCTCTGTGCCCCTCCGTTTGGCCCCTCTAACTGGGCAACAGGTAGTTTTGGCACCTGTGGCATCAGAATGGTGGCCCCAGCATGGGAAACTGGCCACGAGCTGGTGAGAGTAAAATTTTAAGTTCCCAGGAATCAGAGTATGGGGTAGAGCTACTCCGAAACACAAAAGCACTCTTTTGAACCCAGATCAAGGTGGAACTGGAGGGCAGCCCTTGACAAGAAGGCATGCCAGCCTCCCAGTTAAAAAAAATCTTAAGGGCTGAAGTTTAAAGGCTCCCCAGTTATTAAAATATCTTAAAGGCTGAAGGCACATCTTCTGGACTGTTAAACTGAATTCTGTTTTATAGATTCGTGGCTGAGCAGAGCAGGAGGCTGCGAACAGAAATCCGAAAGAATCTATGGAACGTCACAGCCAGGCGCACGAAGTTCAGGGCCACGAAAGCCTGCAGGGACATATCGTAAAGGCTGAGGAGAAGCCGGTGGCACTGGCCTTGGATGGGGAGAGATACCAAGAGGCAGACGAATACGTGAACGTGTGCCAGAGTGGGTTGATGATGTACCGAGAGACGCACGACAAGCTGTTTGAGCATCAGAAGGAAGGTGTTTCCTTCCTGTACAGCCTCCACCGCGATGGAAGGGAGGGCGGCATTCTGGCGGACGACATGGGCTTGGGAAAGACCATCCAGGTGATCGCTTTTCTCTCGGGGATGTTTGATGGTGGCCTTGTGCGGTCCGTCCTGCTGGTCATGCCAGTCACCCTCGTTAACAACTGGATGCGAGAGTTTGTCAAGTGGGCCCCCGGAATTCGGGTGAAGATCTTCCACGGGACCAGCAGGAAGGAGCGCAGCCAAAATCTAGAACGTGTCCAGAGCCGGAAGGGGGTCTTGCTCACCTCCTACCAGATGATCCTCGCCAACCAGGAACAGGTCTCCACTTTTAACGAGGAGACGTTCGTCTGGGACTACATCATCCTGGACGAGGCGCATAAGATCAAGACCCCGTCGGCGAAAACCACCAGAGCAGTGCATGCCATTCCGGTCAAAAACCGCATCCTCCTCACGGGGACGCCCGTCCAGAACAACCTCCGGGAGCTTTGGGCCCTCTTTGACTTCGCATGCCAAGGGACTCTGCTCGGCACAGCCAAAACCTTCCAGATGGAATATGAAAATCCCATCACAAAGGCCAGAGAGAAGGACGCGACTCCCGGGGAGAAAGCTCTGGGACTTAAGATCTCAGAGAACCTGATGACTATCATTCAGCCATATTTCCTGCGGCGAAGTAAAGGCGAAATACAGAAGCTGGAGGCTGAGCAAGCCTCCAGCCCCGGCCGAGGGGAGGGGTCCATTGCTCTGGAAATGCCTTCTCTCCCAAGAAAGAATGACTTCATTGTGTGGGTTTACCTCGCCCCCACGCAAGAGGAGATCTACCGGAACTTCCTCTCCTTGGATCACATCAAGCGATTGCTCATGACAACACGTTCCCCGCTGGCTGAACTGACGGTCTTGAAGAAACTGTGCGACCACCCCAGGCTGTTGCCTGCCCAAGCCTGCATCCAGCTCGGCTTGGAGGCTTCGGACTATTCCAAGCACGGAGAGGATGAGGATGGGGCGACTCCAGGCATAACTCCGGCAATCAAGCACATCTCCGAAAAGGTTCTGGTTGAGGAGTCTGGGAAACTGAGGTTCCTCATAGCCCTGCTGGAGAAGCTGAAGGAGGACGGGCATCAGACTCTTGTGTTCTCCCAGTCCAGGAAGATGCTTGATATCATCGAGCGCATCCTGACCCGGCAGCACTTTAAGCTGCTGCGCATCGATGGGACTGTGACCTGTTTAGCAGAACGAGAGAGGAAAGTGGGGGAGTTTCAGAAGGACAAAGACTGTTCCGTCTTTCTCCTCACAACGCAGGTAGGGGGTGTTGGGCTCACGTTAACAGCAGCCACCCGAGTGGTGATCTTTGACCCGAGCTGGAATCCGGCAACTGATGCGCAAGCGGTAGACCGAGCGTACAGAATCGGACAGCAGGAGAATGTTGTGATCTACAGACTTATCACATGTGGAACTGTGGAAGAGAAAATCTACAGGCGCCAAGTCTTCAAGGACTCGCTCATACGGCAAAGCACTGGAGATAAGAAAAATCCATATCGGTATTTCACGAAGCAGGAGCTGCGGGAGCTCTTCACCCTGGGAGACACGAGCAGCTCTGCAACACAACTCCAGCTCCAGGCTTTGCACGCCACCCAACGGGAGTCGGACCCGACGCTGGAGGAGCACGTGGCATTGCTGCACACGCTGGAGATGTTTGGCCTCTCCGATCATGACCTCATGTACAGCTGTGAAACAGGCCCTGAAGAGCAAGCTGAAGACGAGGAGGCACATCGGTACATTGCAAACAGAGTGCAGAAGGCTCAAGAGCTGGTGCAGCTGGAATCTCAGCTCACGGACGTTCAGCGTCAGAAGTCCCACAGCTTGTGAAGCCTCTTTGGCTTCTCAGCTGCAGGGTCTCCCATGGAAGCAAAGCCAGTCTTAGGGCCCTTCTGTAGCCCAGCTTTCACCAACCTTCCTATGCACCGGACTACAGCTCCCAGCATCCCCCAGTCAGCACAGGAGTTGTAGTCCAATAGATCTGGAGGGTACTAAGTTGGGGAAGACTACCTTAGACTCAAATTGCCAAGTTGTCTTCCAAGGACAAGACTAGACCAGTCGAGAGCTCTCATCTTCTCCGCTTCGTCCATTGATCACCCTCTTGATGGTCATCAAACTTGCTTTCTTCGCTGAAGATCCCTGGTCAGCCTGGAAGAGGCAAGTGACGAAGGTCCATCCCTCATCGTGAGCCTGGTGCTCCTGCGTCCCACAATCCACTTCGTTTGGCCATTTGTTCAACTCTCTTTTGATGCTACAGTTCTGTTCTCGATGTCCAACTAGTATCATTTTAAACCAGTATTTATTGGGCAAAGTGGAGGAGGAGGAGAAATTCTTGGTCCTGAACTGTAGAATTTGCAGGTCCTTAACAACATTCAGCTTGCCCATAAAACACTTGGGTACGCGAAACGATCAACGCCAGTGATCGCTCTTTGCAGCGAAAGGAACACGGCCGAGAGGAAAGCACCGCACTGACCCTAGATCTACGGAGGACAAGCTGCTGGGCCTCTTCCAGGTTATCGAGCTAAAGAAGGGACTGAACAGACTGTGTCAGTCCATGTTCTCTTTCTCCTCCTGAGAAAGAGGAAAGAGCACTGTTCTTGAGACTTTATTTTCTTTCTAGCTAAGAATCGAGTGCAAATATGAAGTTGAATGTTCTTCCTGTCTTTTACTGTCTTTCCTAATACGAGTAAAGTTTTTTCAAAATTCAAAAAGCCTATATCTACATAAGGAGCCTAATGCTGGGAACAATAAATGGCAAAAGAAGGAGGGGGCGGCAGAGGATGAAGTGGCTGGATGGAGTCACTGAAGCAGTGGGTGTGAGTTTAGGCGGACTCCGGGGGATGGTGGAGGACAGGAAGGCCTGGAGGAATGTGGCCCATTGGGTCGGACACGACTTCGCGACTAACAACAACCACAACATAAGGAGCATTATTTGATGCTGCTGCCACTTGGGATTTTGATTGTGGGTGTGTTTTTAATGTAGCACCTTATTGCTAATGCTTGTTTAGTTGCTAAGTCATGTCCGACCCATCGCGACCCCATGGACAACATTCCTCCAGGCTCTCCTGTCCTCCACCAACCCTCAGAGTCCACCCAAGCCCACACCCACCGCCCCAGTGACCCCATCCAGCCACCTCATCCTCTGCCACCCCCTTCTCCTTTCGCCGTCCATCGCTCCCAGCATCAGGCTCTTCTCCAGGGAGTCCTTCCTTCTCATTAGGTGGCCAAAGTATCTGAGTCTCATCTTCAGTATCTGACTTTCTAAGGAACAGTCCGGTTGATTGGATTTCCTTTAAGGTTGCATTGCTCACGTGGAGCGGCACAGTCCAGTTACGGGCCTATAGAGCTTCTGCAGCCCCCAAGATCAGGCTATCGGGACCCAGCCAACTCCGTGCCCTTTCCCAGCGGATTCCACTAAGCTCATCCACCCCTTGCCAAGCGGGCGCTCCAAAGTGAGTTTCCTGGAGAGGCGGCTCTTCTCCCGCCCCTTCCAAAGCAGGGCAAAGGCTTTCTGACTCAAAGGGTTTTTTGATGTTAAAGCTGACCGGCTAGGCTGGTTTTGTGGTACAAATTGCAGGTCACATACAAAGCCAGCTGCAAAAGGTTCAGGTCAAGTTAGAATACTGGCCGTCAGGGCAATGCAGCTTAATGATAGGAAGCTGATCCCAAACTGGATATCCCTCCCCGCTTCCAAACACGCTTTCAGGGTGGATCTTAGAAACACAGAAGAGCCCTGCTGGGTCAGGAGGAGGTCCATCCAGTCCGGCGCTCCATACACGTAGTGGCAAACCAGCTGCTCACAGATCCCTCGAAGCAGGCGGGGGCAAAGCCTCTGCCCCCCAGCTCCTCAGCAGTGGCTGTAGGCAGGCAAGCCGCCTCTGGTGAAGGTGGTCACCTGTGCCAGCCAGGCTTGCGGCCACAGACAGCTTGCACTTCCACGAGCCCGTCCGAGCCCTTTTTAAGGCCTTAGATGCAGACGTGTCGCCGTCTCTTCTTCCCGTGTTGGTGCATCTCACAATTTAACTGTGCGCTGTGTGAAGAAGTGCTCTCTCTCATCTGTCCGAATCCTTCCCCCAGTCAGCTTTATGGGACGACCCCGGGTCTGAACCAGGCTTCTCCACTCTGTGCAAAATTTAGGGCCAAATGCTTGGCGCTCGGGATGTGTGGGGAAGCTGCTCTGGGGGAGGGAAGCCAGCCGCTCCCCGGGCTTGGCTCCCTGGACGCTGGGCCCCTTTCATCACTGCGGTGAGTCCAACCCTCTGGCGGGTCTGCTGAGCGCTGGAGTGGGCGCCCCCCAGGGAGGAAGCCCGTGCAAACGCTACGCAGGTGGCTTGACCTGCAAACGTTTTGTGCCGCAGAAGGAGGCTGCGGGTCACACAACCAGGCCCCTGTGCGTGTTCTCGGCTTGGCTCCCCCCTCAGTGAGGGCCGAGTGTAAGAAAGGTCCCGCGGACAAAAGGGGGGCCCTAGGGAGGATGGCTGCAGCCTGCTTGGCGCATCTGGCATGTTGCAGCTGCGCCGCCCTCTTAACCTGAAGGCCCACGCTTGGATTCATGGTGCCAGGAGGGGACATGGGCACGCCACGAAGCTCTCCCACAGAATGGGACCGCCTGACTCTCAGCAGCTGCCTGGCTTCTCTCTGGCTCCCGTGACCAGAGGGATCATAGAATCATAGAATAGTAGAGCTGGAAGGGGCCATGAAGGCCCCTGCTGTTGCAGGACACCACGCCACACCATCCCACTCTGAGGGCTGCCCAGGTTATTTTTTTGTGTCTATAGTGTGGGAGAGCCCCCCACCTCTCCGGGTAGCTGGTTCCCCTGCCGTATTGCTCTGGCAGTGAGGAACCATTTCCTGATATCCAGCCTGAATCTGGGTTGTCCCAACTAGAATGGATTATTCCGTGTCCTACACTCTGGCATCAGCAACCTCTGGTGTGGTGGTGGAAGGAAAACCCAGCAAATATGAATTTGACCATTTACTGCCTGTAGCATAAGCCTCAGGAGAAACAGCTGTACCTTTTGGAAGGGGGGAAATGGGGAGTGAGGTTTCCTGGTGTTGGGAAATTCAAATGAATCCTGGTAGGAAAAGGTTGCTTGTAGGTGCCTTTATAAAATCAAACCTGCGCCCCTTTCTCAGAAAGCAGCAGAATTCCAAGCCAGGTTGCTGTTTAGCATTGCTGTTCCTTTAAGAGACTGGAGCTCTCCTGAGAGTGGCTATTCTTGTGCTAAAAGCAGGAAAACTGGTAAGGCAGCCAGAGAAGTGTTTTTAGCAGCATTGCAATAACCCTAATTTGCATGATCAAACTCACAGCCAAGGCCCGCAATAAACCCTGTGCCTCAATGATCGTTGTTAATTCCCTGTAATCAGTGCTGTTGTATTAAGTCCCCTCTGCAGAGCTCTCACGTTCTTTTTGACTGTGTCCTCATTTATTTCGTCATCACCTGCCCGCTGCTATGTACATGGGACTCAGAACCTATCAAACACTCTGTGTATGTTCTAAGACCTTGTTGTTGGCTGTGAGGACCGCCACCCGGGAGCATGGTGTCATCAGCTACAGGGGTCCTGGGCGACCTCAGCAAGAAAAACACTGGGGTTCAAGGCGAATCAGTCGTACCCACTGGGTTGAGTGTTCATTCCCGCCATTGGTAAGGAGACTTTGACACTGGGCACCAACTGGAACCAGGCGCCGCCATCCGAAAGGCATGGAGCAGCGGCACCTCCCCTCTTCTTGCTCGTAGTAAGAAAAGGGGTGGAGGAAGCCGGGGGGGAATGGGATGGTGGCTGAGCGGAAGCCGCTCCCTTGGTGGCTTTCGCTGTGCCAACTTTTGGGAGCCTCCTCGGGATCACGGCTCCACTTACTGGGCCTGGGCCCATCAGGCACCACCCTGAACCCTCCGCCAGGCCCTGCCGCAGCGGCCACATGATCCAGCGCCCCCCTGCGCCCACCGAGGCCAGCCGGAGACTCAGGCCAAATCCAAGCCATGGAGGGAGGCAGAGAGTTCTTCCTGGAAGCACGTGAGTTCCAGCTGCTAACGAGTCGGAGCTGCTTAGATGCAGAGCCCCGGGACGGGGGGGGGGGAGCAAGAGCCAGCCCGGAGGAGGTGGATGCTTGCACCCGGTGCAGAGCAGGTGGATTGGTTCAGGACAGAGGTCGCTCCACAGGTCGGTCAGTGCACAGTCCTCTGCCGGAAAATGGGGTGGTGGCCAGCGATCCGGATGGCTGTGGAAGGGGACCAGGTGCATTCCTGGGGGAACAGGCTGTCCGAGTCCTGAGGGCTCCTGACCGCCTCCACAGAGGCAGTGCACTGGGGAACGCGGGCAGGGGGTGCAGTTGTGGGCTTCCTGTTGGAGCGTTTGACCGGCCCTGGGCTAGAGACCCCTGGGTTGGCCCGATCCACCCCAGCCAGCCTTGGGCCAAGAGACACTGGCTAGCTCGGAGTCCAGCCGTTCTGTCTGCTTTTTATTGTGCAGCTAGTGTGTGTGTGTGTGTCTGTGCATTGGTGTGTGTGTGTGGGGTGGGCTATTCCAGATCTTAGAAGCCCTTCCCCAATCTGGATTGGGGGAAACTATTTTTGCAGTATGGTTTTATTTAAATAAAAAATTTCAACCAAAAAAAAAAAAATTTCCACCTACTCTAGAGTAAAATTTAAGGGGGCTGCTTGCTCCTGGGCAGTGATTTGCAAGAATGCCTCCTTGGGCCCTTTGGTGAACGAAATCAGGACATGCCGCCCCATGTAAGCGTGGGGGATTGGACCGTAGTCCCGTTGAGGGTGGAGGGCCTGGGACCCAATGCCCCTACCTCTGTATAGGCACCCGGGATGGCATTGTTG